AGCTGTCCCATAAACATAACAAAAGTTTGTTCATATTAAAGCGAAAATACAATAAGATAAATGGAATATGAAAGAGATGCAACCAAAGTTGGCATTTGGTAAAACATTTAATTAAACGTAGACCCAAAAAATATATACATTTGGGAGCTGTGCGTGAAATTCCGTTCTGCTGCGACAGCCAGCAGTTATTACAGTATTTAGGGTTTTATGGTAACAATTTGTTCTATTTAAAAAGAACAAACACAGTGTTTCATAGTGTGAAGTTCTAACATGCTGAATAGCGTTCTCATTCGTCGCATGCTTACAGGTGTTGTGCTGCTGATATGCAAATGAATATGGACTAAACTGTAAACTTTGTTGACGTTTAAAGCTGATGTGCATGCGTGTACTCAAAATTGAAAGCAACAATGCTTTACATACAGAATAGGTTTGTACTCTACAAACCTCCATAATATAATATTACATAATTTGAAACAGACAATTAATTTCACAGAAACATTCTATATACTCTAAACAAAATAAATCCTGTCATTGCATTTATTTGCTGTCATTCTAATCTTAAAACATTTCCTAAAACACAACCACCTTAAAAGATGCATGCCAACAGTGATCTTTTGAACTCAAACTGCTAAAACGAACAAGTACACAATGTAAAATACAAAAACACAGAATACACTACTTTCTACAAAATAAACACAACCGATGAAATATGTATATCATCGAAAACATATATATGTACAACCAACATTGCTACTGTGTTTCTGTGCAACATAACTACATACGGGAAAATAAACAGTCCACTGTGTAAAGAAAAACAGAACAAAGGTACATCAAAACAAAAGTCTATCTCATAGCCGTAAACATCTTTCAAGAGGCTGTATTTCCTGACCATGATGTTGGAGACAGCATTCTTCACGTCTTTGCCGCCCGCGAGTTGGTTCTTGAACAATCTTGACATGTCTTCGATCTTGGCGTTGGCTGCCAAGTTCTTAGCGTTGTCTGTCAGGTTCTTAAGCATCATCTGGAGTAGCAGCGTGCGTAGAAGAATGTATTTTGTTTTTTTTAGGGGGGGAAAGAATGTCTTGTTTTCGATTTGGTTCGTAGCTTTTACACACAAACATTTATCTATTACTTACCATGTTTTATTTATTATACTAAGAGTGTACAGTGTTCTGTTTGATGTAAACAGGATGTGTATAATGTAATCTAAATCATTTATCGGGATCGGGTAACACTTTCAGCTATCATTAAATAAGTAAAATCGAATTCCCAGGGAATTCCTGAGTAAAGTTTTTGATTTGAAAAAAAAGGTAAATCACTTGAGAACAAATAAATGGGAAGAGGAAATCATGAAATATTCATTATAATTTACGCTACAAAATGCTTACAGCCTTGTCAGTCATCGGCGGCAGGACGACGGTCTTCTCCATGGTAGTCATGACGATCTTCCACAGCTCCTTGAGGAGTCGCTTGAGCACCGTCTTTTCACAAGACTGCGCGTAGAGAGACAGCGAGTCCTCCAGGAGATCCATGAGGGGCACCAGCACGTCGTCAGCCTCCACGATGACGGCGTTGCGTTGCGACGGCTGCACCTGCCCCGTGCCCTTCACCGCCGCCAGCTTGTCTCCCATCTCCTTCACCTTGACGGCGATGCGGACCTCCAGGCTGCGTCGGGGAGGGGTGGGGTCAAGCTCTCGGTTTTGTTGGTTACATTTGTATAAATGGTGTTGACTTGAAACATACTAAAAGCACATTTTCCTTTTTGTATGGCTGTATCTAACACCGCTATTATGAGTACTGTCTCATTTTAATCACACAATGATGGCATTTTATAACAAAGCTCTCTCGCCGCAAACTAAACCAATAGACATTCCATTAGACACTCCTTCTAAGAAAAAAGACCCCTTTCTCAAGAACCGACCTCTTGGCGAACTTGTGCGCAAGCTCGTCGAGCACAGTATTGAGGGACGCCTGAAGCTCGTTGAGGATGGTGGCGACGTCCTCCTCCAGCTTCTCTCCGCCCATCTTCTCGTACATCTTCTCCAACTGTACTCTCAGCTGCTGGATGTTGTTCATCAAGATACACGCCTGAAAAGACACACGTGGAACGAGTCAAGTCACAGTTCATGTAGTCGCTGTTATGCTACAGTCATTCGCAGAGGAAACAGGAAACAAGAACAAGAAAAAACAAGAAATTCCTTGAGCTTACCTTCTTCTCGTCTGTGACGTAGTTGGGGAACTCCTTCTTGGTGATGTCGGCGTAAGCCAGGAGGACCTTGACGATCGTCTTGGCGAATCTCTTCATGAACCTCTTCCAGATCTCGGGATCGTATGTATGTATGTATGTATGTATGTATGTATGTATGTATGTATGTATGTATGTATGTATGTATGTATGTATGTATGTATGTATGTATGTATGTATGTATGTATGTATGTATGTATGTATGTATGTATGTATGTATGTATGTATGTATGTATGTATGTATGTATGTATGTATGTATGTATGTATGTATGTATGTATGTATGTATGTATGTATGTATGTATGTATGTATGTATGTATGTATGTATGTATGTATGTATGTATGTATGTATGTATGTATGTATGTATGTATGTATGTATGTATGTATGTATGTATGTATGTATGTATGTATGTATGTATGTATGTATGTATGTATGTATGTATGTATGTATGTATGTATGTATGTATGTATGTATGTATGTATGTATGTATGTATGTATGTATGTATGTATGTATGTATGTATGTATGTATGTATGTATGTATGTATGTATGTATGTATGTATGTATGTATGTATGTATGTATGTATGTATGTATGTATGTATGTATGTATGTATGTATGTATGTATGTATGTATGTATGTATGTATGTATGTATGTATGTATGTATGTATGTATGTATGTATGTATGTATGTATGTATGTATGTATGTATGTATGTATGTATGTATGTATGTATGTATGTATGTATGTATGTATGTATGTATGTATGTATGTATGTATGTATGTATGTATGTATGTATGTATGTATGTATGTATGTATGTATGTATGTATGTATGTATGTATGTATGTATGTATGTATGTATGTATGTATGTATGTATGTATGTATGTATGTATGTATGTATGTATGTATGTATGTATGTATGTATGTATGTATGTATGTATGTATGTATGTATGTATGTATGTATGTATGTATGTATGTATGTATGTATGTATGTATGTATGTATGTATGTATGTATGTATGTATGTATGTATGTATGTATGTATGTATGTATGTATGTATGTATGTATGTATGTATGTATGTATGTATGTATGTATGTATGTATGTATGTATGTATGTATGTATGTATGTATGTATGTATGTATGTATGTATGTATGTATGTATGTATGTATGTATGTATGTATGTATGTATGTATGTATGTATGTATGTATGTATGTATGTATGTATGTATGTATGTATGTATGTATGTATGTATGTATGTATGTATGTATGTATGTATGTATGTATGTATGTATGTATGTATGTATGTATGTATGTATGTATGTATGTATGTATGTATGTATGTATGTATGTATGTATGTATGTATGTATGTATGTATGTATGTATGTATGTATGTATGTATGTATGTATGTATGTATGTATGTATGTATGTATGTATGTATGTATGTATGTATGTATGTATGTATGTATGTATGTATGTATGTATGTATGTATGTATGTATGTATGTATGTATGTATGTATGTATGTATGTATGTATGTATGTATGTATGTATGTATGTATGTATGTATGTATGTATGTATGTATGTATGTATGTATGTATGTATGTATGTATGTATGTATGTATGTATGTATGTATGTATGTATGTATGTATGTATGTATGTATGTATGTATGTATGTATGTATGTATGTATGTATGTATGTATGTATGTATGTATGTATGTATGTATGTATGTATGTATGTATGTATGTATGTATGTATGTATGTATGTATGTATGTATGTATGTATGTATGTATGTATGTATGTATGTATGTATGTATGTATGTATGTATGTATGTATGTATGTATGTATGTATGTATGTATGTATGTATGTATGTATGTATGTATGTATGTATGTATGTATGTATGTATGTATGTATGTATGTATGTATGTATGTATGTATGTATGTATGTATGTATGTATGTATGTATGTATGTATGTATGTATGTATGTATGTATGTATGTATGTATGTATGTATGTATGTATGTATGTATGTATGTATGTATGTATGTATGTATGTATGTATGTATGTATCGGGGACACTCGAGTTTCGACACGACGCCGAAGCACTGCGTGAGCTGCGTGAACACGTCCACCACGGAGTTGGAGAAGAGGGAGTTTTCGGAACTTGGTGGGAACTGGGGGGGAGGAACAGAACTGTCGTCAGGTGGTACTCTCGCTACGTACGACTCTTTACTGAAGTTTCATCGTCTATGCTTTTAAGAAATACAGTCTGGAAATCCCTGCCTTTTCTGAAACAGTTATATAGGGGCAGGCAGAGAAAAACTACAAACCTCGTCCTTCTTGTCTCTCTGGAAGGCACCGTTGAGATACTCGAGAGACACGTCGTCGTTCTCGTTCAGCCACTGCATGACGAACGGCTCGAACCACCTGAAGGAGGAGAGAGATAAGAGCGGTAAATTCTACTGTCATATTTTAAGAACATGAAAAAAGAAAAGTCAAAGAGCGATATGGAAACGTTAATTTACACACATGCGCACACACAAACACACGCGGATATGCGCAAGTACACACGAAAATGATATCACACGTATTTGACAATATAAAGAAGTAATTTTCTGAGACAACGAATTCCCAATACTCACGCTGGGTACTCAGGCACTTGGTCTCTATAAGGAGGCACGTCCTTCACGTAGTTATTGTACAGCCACTTCACCTGCGGGACAAGCGGTTTAGGTCAGTGAGACTGTATTTAAACATTTGACTTAGTATGAGAATAAACGAATCTTGTGTTGTGATGTATGACATAATGCAAAATGCATGATTATGTATATATATATATATATATATATATATATATATATATATATATATATATATATATATTTGTGTGTGTGTGTGTGTGTGTGTGTGTGTGTGTGTGTGTGTGTGTGTGTGTGTGTGTGTGTGTGTGTGTGTGTGTGTGTGTGTGGGCTAATGGGTAAGTATATATGTATGTATGTATGTATGTATGTATGTATGTATGTATGTATGTAGGTATGTAGGTATGTATGTATGTATGCATGTGTGTATGTATTTATGTATATGTGTGTATGAATGTATGCATATACATGTGTAAAATATACAAAATTATCATATCAAATTAATTACCGGTAAGCAGAAAACGTCACCGGCGAAAACGGATTCAAGAAATCATTTCCCTTCATAAAAAACGGAAGAATGTGCAGGGGAGACTTACCTTGAAGTGCAGATTCATGTACTCGCTGCTCTTACATAGTCGGTGCTGCTCATGCTCTTCCAAGGCATACTTGATGTCGACAGCGAACATGCTCCACATGGTGGATGCAGATAGCTGAGGGAACAGAAAATATTTGTTAATATACGTTAGACATGCATTAAAAAAATCCTAATTATTCTGCGGGAACTTGTTTGTGCATAAAGATTAGTTCTGAGAGTAGGGGTTCTACTACTACTACTGCTGATGGTTGATGGTAATGATGATAATAATGATGATAATATTGATTATAATAATGATAATTAATTATAATATAAATTATAACAATGATGGCGTAATAATAAAATGATAATAATAGTAACAATTATGCTAATATTGCTAATAATGATGATAATACCAATACTAATACTAATAATAATGATAATAATAATAACACCAATAATGATAATAAAATTAACAATAACATTACCGTTCACATTAACGAGTACCACAAAATACCAATAACAACAACAACAAAAACAAAAAACAAATCAATACCCCAAGTAAAAAAAAAAGAAAAAAAAGGAAAAAAAAAGAAAAAAAAAGGAAAGAAAAAGAAAAAAGAGAAAAGAAAAGAGAAAACCGAATTCCGAGGCCGAAGCGAGCCGAGCGCCTTCAGGAAGCCTTAGGCCTGAAACCCGCAGTCTGACTTCCGTCGTGTGTCGAGCCGAAGTTGTGACGTGAGGAGAAGGAGGATGAACTTCGAGTGGACAAAGTTTAGACAGCGGGCGGGTTGGGAGTTGGGAGCTGTGGCGATTCGAGTGAAAGCGGCCGCATTTTCTGTCGTTTCGGGAGACGTTTTTCTTCTTTTTTTTTTGAAAGATAATTCCGAATAATCTCTTGCCGATTTTGATATGGGTATTTTCGTACTTTATATATATATATATATATATATATATATATATATATATATATATATATATATAGATAGATAGATAGATATAGATATATATATATACATATACATATACATATACATATACATATATATATATATACATACATATATATATATATATATATATATATATATATATATACATATACATATACATATACATATACATATACATATACATATATATATATATATATATATATATATATATATATATATATATATATATATATATATATATATGTATATATATATATATATATATATATATATATATATATATATATATATATATATATATATATATATATATATATTTGTGTGAATATATATATTTCTTTATACATACACACAAACACACATATATGTATGTATATATATTTCAGTGCATTTTTTCCAAACCTTTTTCATTATATATATATATATATATATATATATATATATATATATATATATATATATATATATATATATATATGTATGTGTGTGTGTGTGTGTGTGTGTGTGTGTGTGTGTGTGTACATATGTATATATTTATTTTCTTTCTTATTTTCTCTCCTCCTTTCTATTTTTCTCTTTCTTTTACTTTTTTTCAAATGCTGCGGATCTCTTCTCTTAATAAAACAATTTTCATCAAGAGCTTGTGTTATCTTTTCATATAACGATTTCCTTATAGTATTTCCTGGAAAGTGCCAATTGAGACAGGTTGGGGAAGTGGCCTGATGTAGCTCTTTAATATGCTGACGTCGATTTCCAATATCGGAAAAAATATGTCTTGAAGTTTGTTTGTATAGCATGCAAATCAGGTAGTGAATAAATAATGATCTATTACTGAAGAAGAAGAAGAAGGAGAAGGAGAAGAAGAAGGAGAAGAAATAGATGTTCCGAATCGTACTTGTAAAAAGATCAGATTTTCTTCCTTTACTTATAACAGTTAATAGAGAAAATAGAGATAGAATTAAAAACAAAAACAACATACAAGAAAATCAAAATAAAACTCCAAATTAGAAATCAAATATTCAAAAATCAGTATCTCCCTCCCCCCCACCCCAAAACCTCCCCCAAAACCACC